GAATTTTCTCTTCAAATATTATAATTTACTCTTCAAAACATAGAATTTACTTCTCAAAACTTAGAATTTACTCTTCAAAATATCGAATTTACTCTTCAATTCTTGGAATTTACTTTTCAAACTTAGAATTTTCTATTCAAATCACGATGGTCGGTTGCTATGCAGTTTGCTCCCGGAGTCAATTTGCGATTGTTGTTAGTTTCCGGTCTGCTAGCTGTGATTTAAGGCGCGGTTAAAATACCGCGTCTTTAGCGCTCTCGTTTGCGTTTACTTTCAAACATTTTTAAAACAATACTTGCCCAATTAGTACATACTTGAACCGTTTAAAGATATCGCAGCGCAAACTAGTCACAGGACAAATGCAAAGCGGTAAATTATGGTGTTATTATGGGCATGTATTTTCGCATTCCAGTCGAAGGATATCCCGCCCACAAGGACAAATTCTACCATCTAGGGGTCCCACAGCACCACACGTGTGTGCCCTACAATCTCCCTTTGAAAACCCCCCTGGATTTATAGCATTGCCAGAATTATAAGCGAAAATAGCTGAAAATTCCGCATTTTTCGTTTTATTTTTCAAATATTTTTGCTAAAACGTAAATCTGGAGACACTTCCCAAATCAAAGTTGAAGAATATCATTTATTGAAGAACTTCTAATGGTGAGCAGTAGCGAAGAAAGGTGAGGAGAAAATATCCTTCGGCAAACTCATTTGCATTATTAGCGTATTCGTGACTCGCCATATTGTTGCTTCACCACGCGCTGTCTTGTCTTTCTAACTCGATAGATTATTGCTGTAAAAGTCAAACGTGTGATGGAAATAAAGGAAATCCAGCAAAATCCAACAAACAGAGACCACTAGCGGATAATTTTTGGAAAAAATCTCCATTCTTTAACCTCAGAGAAGGCGAAGGAGATCTGTCACGCAAGTCACGCGAGGTTCATACTGTAGGCCTACTAAGAATAAACTGAGGTTAATTGAGCTTGGCATTGGAACCCGGCTTAATTAAGTTACTAAATAGTATAAGCTGTAGAACGGCTGCATATTTATAAGTTGATTGTCAGTTTAATATAATATGTGATATCGAAATATTAAAATTACAACATAGGCCACAAGTTGTAGGTTTTTGTTTAAAAGGCAGTCTGATTATATAAACCTATTAACTAATAGTAGCCAACACAACACTTACCGGCCCATTTCAGGGGTAGAATTATCTGGTGTTTATAGCCTAGATATCGTAAAATACGAAAGCAGGGTGTATACACGATACATCAAGGGCCATAAAATGAGACTGATAGCTGAAACTACTGATTTATCTGCATGTATTCTTGTATTCTCATATTTGTTTACTTCGCCTCATACTGCGTGCCTTGAGTTAGCTGGTTTCTTTACTTCGATAAAAGCTTATCGTGTGGCTTACACAAGTTTTATTTACATTAATATGACTACAGAATACTTAGTTATAGTTTACAAAAGAAATCAGTTACACATGCGTTTATTTAAGCTACGGTCGGGGAGCCGTCTTCTCGTTAAAGGTCGATATAAAGACAACATGCCTTGGTAATTTGAGTCGTGAGAGTAGCAGACGTACTATATGATCCTCACGCGAAAACCATCATGAAAAGCGCTTGGAATTGTAACTAAATGATAAAATTAAGTGTGCGCAAAGACATGAAATCTGTTTCTGGAAAATCTGCGTATCTTAAGCATTTTAAATCACTGGTATATACTGTAATAGGCTACTATTATTTTATGTCGCTACGGATCAGTTGCGCAGCCGATTATAAACTGTAGTAATTTGGCAGGCATATTCATGTGCACTGTAGCTAAATCTACTATATATATTGTCATCTATACAATGGAAGTATGTGTTTATATATCTCAAAATACATCATACACAAATATAAAATGAAAGCGTTTTATAATAGAACATATTCATCAAACAAATTCTTGCGTGAACAGAACTATAGTATAGCTAGATTTCTTGTCGCTAACCAAAACAGTCAGACTGAGTCAATATGTTTCTCAGTCGGTATATATTACTTTAAATAGATATATACACTGTATTAGTACTAAGTAGCATCAGATAATTTTCCCCAAATTACCTACACATACTGCTGAAGAAACACGAATTTAGGCGAAAAGAGGAACAGTTTGTACACGGGTTTGCGTTCCGTAATATGAAAGATAAACTATTATACAGGAGGCGAATTTGATATATCGTCTAGAGCTATTCGACGGCAGTCCCTAAGTAATAGATCCGATTGTTATTTGACCGCTAAATAAAATTATCACAATAGTTCCTTTTAAATATTGAAGTACATAAACCAGTTAAAATATACCCAAAAAATTGTTCTAACAGTAAGAAATTTCAAGCCGGCCAAATACATGACCTTTCCGATCATAAAATAACACGACGCCATTTCGCCTTCACACCAACACCGCTGGAAAAAACGAAGCCCGCGCTTCCGGGAGCAAAACGCATAGCAACCAACCATCGTGTTGAGCTTGGAATTTTGGAATTCTTCAGGGGTAAAAGGTTTTGAGCTTGGAATTCTTCAGGGGTAAAGAGTTTTGAGCTTGGAATTTTGGAATTCTTCAGGGGTAAACAGTTTTGAGCTTGGAATTCTTCAGGGGTATGACAATGAAAAACATGTATCCTCGACAGGGGGGGTACGGATATTAAATGGAATAGCCCAATGGCAAAAATAGACTTAAAATCTTAGATATAGTCGATATATAAAAAACATTGACACCAAAAATGGTTCTTACTCCTTACTATTTGTATATTTATTACATACATACAACATATCATATATTATTTTATAGTTCCATGGAATCACATCAAGATTAAAATGTATTAGAAGCTAGAGAAGAATAATTGCAACTTTTTTATATATTCGCAGGCAAAATAACATAATTGCTATTGCTTTATGTAAATGTAGTTGATAATCAAACTTTCTAAAACTTTCAATTGTATGAATGCTTCAAACTATCTTTAATATTTGATGTTAAGACATATTTCTTTCTGTTGAGTCCTAGACCTTTTGTTTTTAATTCAAGCAATCAAACTGCCAAATTACTGTAATTATTAACAGCATAGGTCATTGATAATCAGTTGAATTTTAGAACTGCTTTGGGAAACCCTATTTTGTAATGAGACACATTACTTCTTGCATTATTGTATATTGTAAGGTCAATGGGATAAACTGCTTGATGCACAGTAGATTTTATAATCTTAAATATAGTTGCACTCACTATTGTATAAATAATTCTATAATTGTTATAATAAAGTATTACTTTTGACTTTGTGTAATAGTGTTTTCTAATTCTTTGACTCATCAGATGCACAATAATTAAACTTTTCTAAAAAAATAAAATAAATTTGCCAGTACTCTCAGGAAATGAAAAGATGATAAACTCTCAATTTTTGCCTTTTGAGTTTAGTGGTTACTGTAAATATCATTAAAAAAATATCCAATTTTTAAAAAAATTTGGAGACCTGAAGAAGTTTTGGTGCCAATTGAAATTAAAAATTTGAATTAAACTCAGAAAATTTCATAGCAATGGGTAAAGTCATTCCTGATGCAAAAAGTATAAGAAGTAATAGTGAAGGGTCAATTGACAGAATAAAAAATCAAAAGAAAACTTCCCAGGACATTTCATCAGTAAGCAATTTATTTTTAGTTTTTTACAGTATACTATTATATTGATTGAAATTAGACTTGCATTAACATGATAAACATCCTTAAGGATGAATTACTATGAAAACAGTTGATACAAAATGTTCATCAAGAAAAGTGGTCACCCAAAAAGCAGATGTTTATATGTTCTGACCACTTTTGTTCTGGTTGCATTGTCCATACTGTTCTGTTCTCAAAAAGCAGACACTTGTTTGCTCTGACCACTTCTGTTCTGGCTTCATTGTTCATTGTCCATATGTTCTGGCTTCATTGTGCATATGCAGTCTTTTTACTGAGCTAGATCACCATATTTTTGTGACTCACCAGTTGGTGAAAATCATGTTATATTTCAGTTGACCAAGAGCATCCTCAAGAGTTACTGTGAGGTTAAATTTTACCATTTTGGAAAAAAGACCACTGAGAATTCATCTGGACAAAAAATTAGAAAGAAATTAAATAAACTTGTACCTTTTAAGCACCAGTGTGAGTGATTACACAGAATGTATCAGAGAAAGCTAAATATTACTAAAATTTACTATGAAACTGCCCAAGCTGAAAGTGCAGACTCTTCTCAAACATAATTTTACTAAAGATTTATAGTGAAAACTGCCCAAGCTGAAAGTGCAAACTCTGTCTCAAACATTTCACAAAAGATTTAGAGTGAAAACTATCCAAGCTGAAAGTGCAGACTCAGACAGTCTCAAACATTTCACTAAAGATTTACAGTGAAAACTGCCCAAACTGAAAGTGTACTTTTAGTGTAAGTGTACTGTTTTTTTTACAGTATAAACTGCCTACGCCGATAGTTGAAACGTTACTTACCAACTTCCATTTCCATAAAGTGGTGCCAGAAATCGTAAGTACATGTATTGATTAGACGATACTTCACCAGAGAATCATTCACAGATTCAAAACAAATATATAAAGAATGTCGTAATTCGAAATTTTTAGCTTTAAAATGCGATTCAAAGACAACAACATCGCCAATTAATGTTTTTTTCTTGTACCCTTTTCCAAAAAGCTGCGATTTCAAGGCGAACGCACCTCAAAAAGGTATTTTTAATCAAGAAATGCAACAAAGCCTCGAAAAGTATAGTATTTTCTATAGCATTTCATTGATGAGTGGGAACGACCAATATGGCCGCCGCCTATTTTCATGGGGGAAACCGCTGAGATTTTTGGCTTCAGTTTTGTATTCCGAGATGCGCTATCTAGTGTATATGAGATATCTATGAACTTCACCCGTACTCGACTCCGAAATTTCCCTAACCCCTAATCGTAAGCACCTGTTCGCAGGTCACGGAATCTTCCTTCAGGGATTCGATCACTATTCGACCCACGGAGCTATAACGGAGCTATAAAGTGAGCACCCAGCCAGTGACCACCTAACCTGAGTATCAGGCCGTACTTTTTAGGGCACAGGCACGCCTGATCGTGGGCAAAGGGGAGAAAAGTACGGCCTGACACAAAAGTGGCATTTTGCCTGGTTGTTCAGTCCAGAATCTGGACTGAGCGCTGATTGGCCGATTAGACAAACGATTTTTAAATCTGTCATTTGATTGGCTGGTGCTAATTAGATTATACTATTGTTGTTGATATATTTTATAACGATAAACGATCACAATTCACAACTACAATTATAGCCGGCCCACTAAACGGCTGAATTTAAATTAAAACTGCAGTAAAATTATAAAATAATCGCAAATTAGCGAAATATATTGCAAATGTCGCTTATATTAAATCGCCATCAGATTGCACTATCGACTGACGTATAGTTATAAAGTATACTTTATAATTATACGTCAGTTTGTTGATAAATCGGCAAGCGCCATGTAAAGCTCATTGTAGTCACTGAAACCTCTGCGGAGGAGAGAGCAATCGGGTGGCGATTTAATATAAGCTACATTTGCAATATATTTCGCTAATTTGTGATTATTTTTGTTAATTTTATAAGTTCATTGCAGTTTTAATTTAAATTCAGCCGTTTAGTGGGCTGCCTATGCTATAATTAGATTGTTGTTGTCGTTGTGTGAAATTTAAATTTCTCCTGCGACATTTTGATTGGATACTAAATATAAACTTTGCTGTGGGCGGAAAGCGATCAGGTTAACATACATTAACATAACATTGATACTCAGGTTAGTGACCACCCAGCACTTGCCTGGCGAGCACCGAAAGGCATACAGTCACACTTTGAGCGATGTGAATTTACGCCCTCGCGACAATATAACAACAATGTAATTTGATATTATATTTACCGTATTTGGAGTCCAAAATTCAAGTTATTTTAACCATAGTTAAATAATGTTTTAACAAATTTATCTAAATTGAGTAAATTTGGCAGACTTTTATTGATGAGCTATATTGAGCAATATGTTATCGCCACTTCTTTTGCACAAACTTGAAAAAGTTCGTGAACAAAATCCACGCTCATCGCTCAGCATGTGACTTGATGCCATTTTAGCATGATGATAAAAAGAAAATTGAAAAACGACAAAAAACGTTGGCAAGTTAGATCCGGTCATGGTCACTTCCTTAAAATTCACATTGGTAAAAAATATTCTTTTCGCTAATCAGTTTAATTTAGCGACAATGGGTGACGGAATTTACTCACGACAGACGACTTTGTACACATGTCACACGACATAAAGGTACACTCGTGCTCAGCTAATACAGTTATAGCAATCCTAGCCTTGAGAAGCGCTAGGTCACAGATGTTGAATGCTGCTTAGCAAAAAAGGCTGGACTTCTAAAAAGTGCAAAATATTGGGGTCCCCTTGGAGAAATTCTGACCAGCACAAGCATATATGCATTACATTATCATTTCTTGTAATGGAAATTTTTTATCTTTCTATGTTTTAAATGTTCTGGATTCGTTTGTGATTAACTAGAGTTGAATTGCCCCAAAAATTCCACTTTACCGACTCTATCTAGAATTTACCACCCCCCCCCTCCCCTAAACGTTCATTGCACTCTATTATGCATGGATAGCGTGGGAGTCCGAACATGGGCGTACCGGAAGGAAAAAATTAGGGGGGCGGAAAGAAAATTGCCCGACTTTTCGGATTCTGCCCGACTAGTACCAAAAAATTTTTTCCGGAAAAATTATTTTGGCGAATCCCCCCCCCCCGTCGTCAAAAAAATTTTCGGTCAGTGTACCATTTTAGGGGTCAAAAAAATTTTCCGGACAACCAATATTTTTCGGAACATAATACAAATTTTCCAAATTTTAGACAAAATTTACTGAATTTGCCCCAAAAAACTGGGGGGATGCCGCCCCCCCCCCGCCCGGTACGCCTATGAGTCCGAATACTTTTTCACGTACATTATAAAACAACTCTATTCTAACTATAGCGCAGGAGGTAAAATTGCTTGGGCCCCTCCAGGGATTTTTTGTCCGCGTGCATAATATAGCACTCAAGGCGTGGGAATCTGATATACAGCTAATTCAAAAAAGGTTGTCCTGTGCAAATCTTAAACTCTATTAAACTGAACCTTAAACTCTAAGCGTGCAAAGCATAATGGGAGCATCACTTAATCAGTTTTGAAAGCATATTTGGGGCCCATTTCTTTGAGACAAGATAAATATCTCATTACGAGAACAATTCATTCGCAAATAGCTGCAATATTCAACCACTAAGCTTGCGAGCTTAGAGTTTAAGGTTAATGAAGGTTTAGAGTTAAGGTTTGCAAAGGACAACCTTTTTTGAATTGGCTGTATCCGTCATTGAACACATTAAAATTATCCTTGTGGTTTGCAATTACTGCAAAGTAAGTAGTGACATACATGATTTTAATTTGCAAGAAAAGTCTGGAAGGATGAAACAATACCCATAAAGAAGTTATTATGATCATTGACAATGGCGATTATGACTGTGCTTCGTAACATCAGATTCCAAACGATTAAAAGATATATTAAGAATTCTAGAAGAATAGGTATGTTGTAAAACATGGACCGGACCGGACTGGACTGGACTGGGAAAACGCAGCCTCAGTCCGCGATTTGTAAAAAACGGACTCAGTCCCAAAGTTTCAGCAGCTATTTAAAGGACTTAAATTGAATAAATTTTCTAATATTTGCCGACCATTGATAAAACACATAACAAATTTCTCGTCCATGAACTCAAAAATACGTTTTCAACTTATTTCGCGCGCAAGCTATTTTTAATACTGCTAGAAACACTCCCCTGCTCTGGAAAATTTATCTTTACGAAAATTTATCTTGTTGTTTATTCTACATTATAAGTACCCAAACTGTTTATTTCAGTGACATTTTTTATAAATATAGATTGTTTGCTGGTTAAACAATCTATATTTATCAAAAAGTTCATGAAATGAACGGATTTGTGAAATTGAGAGCCGTTTCAAAATTTCTACTTTTTTATGCATCCCGCTGTAATGCACACTGGATAAGGGTGTTATTTTGAAGGATTAACCGCTATATATCGACATATTCAATATGCTATTTGAAGCCAGGGTTGGGCAAAATCAACGAGTAAAAACGTTGCAAAAGCATACTTAGATATACAATAACAGCAAATCATTATACGATTTATTATGCGAATAACTAATGAATATAGTAAAAACTAAACACTGTTCCAGAACACCGTATGCACTCCATTTCATATCGTTCCAGAACAGCGTTCCCGAAATGTTCTACTAGAACAGTGAATGGAGCAGCCTCCGTGTGACGAGTATAAAACATTTTCCAGCCAAACTGCATTACCACAACAACAAGAATAGCCAATATAGGAATAGCATAAATTAATATTCCGAATACTCTCCTATAAGTACTCTGCCCCCTTGGGAATTAACCTCACACCCTCCCGTCCGCCTATGTGCATTTGTGGCAGTTTGCCGTATAATAATGTTTCGCGGGCTGATTAATCGTTAATTTTAAGTTTCATTGTGTTTTTCCTTAACATGCAGAGATACGATCAATATACGTCAATACGTGGGTGAGAATGCTCCCACATCCTGAAGTAACTATATAGTTCCACGGACTAGCATTTCATGATTTTCATCATGACTGGCATTAATTTATTTTACAATGAAAATGTTATCCCTGTAGACACGAGAAACATATTCTAAGGGCAATAGGAAATTATGCGCAAGCCCTTGTGACAAAAACAGTTTTGCCTTGAGGGTATATGAAATTCGAGTTTTTCTTCAAAGTGATTGAGAAAGAACTGAAGCGAACTGTGTTGCCTATAGTACACCACAGATAATATGATTTTTCTTATTTGGCATAACAATTTCAATCCCGCTTAATCTAAAATTGAAAATTTTTATGTGCGTTTTTTTAATTAATAAAACATTTAAGCTCTCAGCAAGAGGTGTTAGATATTATAATTGAAAAAATTCAAATGAATACTCAGGAACGTTGTAGTTAAAATGGTCTAGATTAACATTTTGTACCTGTAATACCAATAATACTATTAATAAAAGCTTGGCACTGATTGTTTAATGAAAGAGCTTGAAGCGGTTCTTAGACTTAGTACATGAACCGTTCACTAGTTGAACGTTATATCAATTTATTTTTGTTAATTGAAACTAACTATTTGGTTTTAAATATAGTACTTGCTATGAATATGGTTAAACTCATAACATTTTCATCGGAGGTTAAATCAGAATTACAGAATTCGTGTTTAGGTTAATTAAATTGGCAGTATATATGACCTGGACCTGATACTGGTAGCGGATTGCATGTCCATATTTTGTTATGGAAATTTCTCGAATAACAATATAGGCCAAATTATGTTATTACTAACACTGACAGGAGTCTAAAATGCAATGACTCTACTATATGATTCCATGCACATTATTTTTGCCGTGTAGTAGATAGAATAAGTTAATATACCTACATAAAATATATGTTAATAACAATTACAAAATCGATGTTTGACAAATTTCCCAACAGAAAACAATAACAACATTTTTCAATGCACTATAATTAAAACCCCCATATTATGGAGACGAGCGCCGACATTTTTCAACTAACTTAGTGATGGGTGCGGCCATGCATACTAGCAAGTTAACTCGAAAAGGAACTTGTCATAGAAAACGTGGCTTGCTTGTTTCAAGGAAATTTTCACGCAGTATAAACATCTAACTCTTAATATCTTGATTTAAATGCAGCATGCAGTACTTGTGGAACCGTTCTCGTGAACCAAATAATAACAGCACATGTTTTGAACACCAGTTAACCTTTTAATAAATAGTTTTATATGACATACCTTCCCCAGTAACGGTTTCCATTCTCTCCAGGTTCATAATGGAAGATCGGTTCAGCGACACCAAAATAGAACAGACCGATCGCAATACCCGCTGAAAATAACATGGTGAAATACGCCGCGTCGCTAAATTCTGGTTCTTCGTCATCTCTGCCAAGTTTCATCTTTCCATATTTCGAGAAGTAGACAACAAGAATGAACAGAAACCAAATGTCTTGCGTGCCAATGTACAACCAGGTGAATTTATCCGTGATCCAGGTTTTTCCCTCGGCCATGTATTCTGATACATTAGTTGTGTCCACCATTCCCCATATTGCAAACCCCCAAATGACCGTTGCCGATATCAACGTAACAACTGGGTTTAGATTTATGTGAAAAGGCCCAAGATCTGCCTTGAAAGTTCGACATGTTTTTCGAGTTGTTTCGGCCATGATGGAAAGAAATACATTAAACTGTTTACACAAGTACACAACAGCTTAATTCTTTCGTGATCAATGATTCGGTTAATTATTCCGACAACTTAATAAAGCTTCCAAAGACATGAAAATTAACCAACTGATGCTATTGAAATTGATGAAAAGCCGCCACTTCTTTAAATTCTTGAAATATAATTGCCTCTGTTCTTTGTTTAATAACGATGTCTTAGAGGCATCAATATCTTTTACCTTTTATGGTAAAAAGAGGTCAATATTTTTTATTTTTTTTAAACTTGAACGAATTTACGAATCTTTACAGTAAAAAGGATATACATTTACTGAATTGCTAAGAGGCCAAGCTAAGGTTTCTATTTGTACTGTATTCACATCTTGAACAACTAATTTAATAGTGCCTGCCCAGAACACACAAGAGGCTAGGGTTTTCGATCTAAATTAAACTTTTATAAAATTTCTCATCGCTCGGGTAAAACGTCAACAAGAGTTGAGTAAAAGATGGTGGTCGAAATTCCGAAGTGGTTAGTGCATGTATCTTTTACCTCAACGACTGGGGTACAGTTCCTGTAGTTACTCGCATGCATTGTCATTTTTCTTCGGTAAATACGAAATTAGTTTGACCATGTACAATTGCACAAATTCTATTCTAAGGCTCAGGACATTCAGTAACTGCATGAAGCACCTACTTTGCACAAGTGTGAGATTTTGTGAAATTCAAATTCAAGTCATTATAGGCCGGATCAGCCCATGCAGAACAAAGAGCTCAAAATAAATGGTGAACAGCGTCTTTGGTATTGCTAAAATACAAAAATGAGAAAGAGAAATCTCTTTCAACTATAAATCGCTGCTGCGAATTCCATTCTCTGCATGAGCCTGCTTCAGCACTCCCACCGACATGGTAATTTATCTCGCATTGTCTATTTGAGAACGAGCTAGAACAAAACAACGTTATTTTATTTCAATTGGCAAGAACTATTTAATTGTTTTTTTTTTGCTTATTTCTACAGGCTTTAGACTGAATAATGTCCATCTTAATTTTTGACTTAGGGGCGGATCATTTGATTTTTGAGGGGGGTTTGGAAGATTCAGACTGTGCAAGAATTTTTTTTTCGCCCAGGGGAATAAGACAGATATTTTTTCCTGTAAAAGTGCAGCGCAAGATATTTTTTCCCCAATATATTTCGCGGCAGGATATTCTTTTTGCCCCTCATAATAACGGCTTACAGTAACTTAAAGCTTTCATATAGCTATCTTCAGAGACGTAGCCGTGGTTTTCAGTCAGAGGAGGCGGAGAACTGAATTGCAAGAGGGGCCAAGGAATTTTCACTGTGCTGTATTTTATATGGTTATGTCTTAATGTTCCCCACACTAAAGCGTGCAGGTTTACTTACAAAAAATGTATAACTGCACCAAAACCTAAAACATGCAGGGATAGAGTTCTCGAAAATGGGAGAGGTACAGTATATAAACGACCTGTAACCTTTGGGGGTTCGGGGGTATGCTCCCCCGAGAAAATTTTAAAATTTGAACCTCGGAAATGCTATTTCCTGCGTTTTCAGCCATGGATTTGTCCAACAACTTTGCTGTACTAAGCCTAAGGAACACTTACTGTCCTTTATTTTAAACAAGGGAAAATCACAAAATGAGCTTTGATTAATATGTAATAAAACACGATTTCAATAATGCGATTTTTAACTGCCCTCCGAAACAACAATGTTCCACCAAATATAGTTCTGTAGCTTTTCAATCGTTCATACAAATAGCTTGTTGGGGATCGGGTTGCATCCTCTTCAGAAATTTTTTAAAATCTAGACTCTCTAAACTGGCATTTTCGCATTAAAATCATCGTATATACAGTACGTTCAACTTGCATCCTGCATGTAGATATGGGCCTTTGAAGCTTTAATATAGTTTGGAGCTATGCTTATGTTATCAAAAAACGCACACAGACTCAACCATCCAAAAATACTTTTTCTACCATGCATATTAGATATGTAAACTTGTACATATCTTAAGCCCAGGTTTTCTCAGGGGGGGCAACAATTTTGCCAGAGAACGCCACAGGCTATCGTATATGTTATAGGCTCCAAAGGCGGTATAGAATCCCTGTGATGTTGCCCACTGTTCACCCCGTGTTCTTTTAAGCAAATGTGCCTGCTCAAAAATGCAAAATCTTGCAATCTGTGGACACAATACTGAAGTGAAGAACGTCAGTAGATTTACATGTAGGAATTTTTTTTGAGCGCTAACTTTTGCACGATATTTTTTTTCTCGATTGTATGCTGCATGGGTTTTTTTTTCTTTCTCCTTGGATTGCAGGAAATTTTTTTTCGAAATCTTCCAACCCCCCTCAAAAATCAAATGGTCCGCCCCTTATAATCAATCCCTTGAGAGTTGAAGAACAATAAAATGACGGCTATGTATAGTGTTGAAAAATCAATGATATTGCAAGTATTTGCAAGCTTGTAAGACTAATGCGTATCAATAATTCAGAATACTCAAACCTTATAGTTATAGACGGTTTTAATTTTAACCCGCATGTCCTTTTCTGTTTCGAACAAGGTATAATTTGTGCACATGTCTTTCAGTATATAGATTATAGTGCAATAATTGCACAAGAGAATATTTTATCGTAGAACCCATGCTGATTTTTCATTAAAAAGTGACCCACCGTTGGTAAATGTTTAAACGATTTACTTTATTAATCTTTTCGATATTTACATTTGAATCGATGACTCATTTTTTCTACAGTACACCCTGTGTAGGTCACAGTAGTTGAGTATATTTTGTAATTTTCCCACGCATCTTTAATTAACAATAAATACACACAAAGGTGATCCGATCGTCATGGGAACGTGAAGTGTATGAATTATTTACTCATTTCTGCGCTGAAGCTATATGTCATCAGGCCAATATGCACTATAATGGCACTCATATCTATATACAGACTTGAATGATGTGATTTCTTGCACTTCACTTGGTGGAATTAATATTAGAATGTTAGGGTTTGTAATCCAAGTGATTATATATACATTTTAAGACCTGACCAGGAACGACTGCGAAAAATACAGCACAAGGTCCTCTGGTAGGAATTGAACCTACGGTTAAGTCCACCTTATCATAACCCGCACACCCGATTACCTATATATACATGAACTTACGGTTACAGCTCAACAGCTGGCCTCTGTAGCTCAGTTGGTTATAGCGCTGCACCGGAATCGCAGGGCCGTAGGTTCAATTCCTACCAGAGGACCTTGTGCTGCATTTTTCGCAGTCGTTCCTGGTCAGGTCTTAAAATGTATATAATCACTTGGATTACAAACCCTAACATTCTAATATCTATACAGAGTATACAGGCTATAACCAACTTTCAATTTTTGACTGGTGCCCAAAATAAGGTAAAATTCAATCGCTTGAATCTACTTTTGGAGGGATTTGTGTTTTTTTTGTCTATATTATAGTTTCGACCCTTATAAAGAAAAATTTAAACATCTATTTAAACAAAATTTAAGATATTTTAAGATCTATATGCTATGTAAAACAAAATAGCGACCTATAAGTTGTAAGCTGTTTTCCAGTTATACTTTAAATTGAGTTTCCTATATGAAATAATATATTAAATGAATAAATTACAAGGAGAGCATTCAGTTCTGTTTAAGTATTACATTTAGAAGTTAAGATTTAAACTTTTCTGTGCGTATATATAGTCCAGCGGATATGCACAGATATTTGAGAGAATCATGCACTTTGTGAAGAAAGCACCAAATTCACAGGAAGTATCGGTAGATTTTAACATGATAATGAATCTTAGATATGGAGGCATCACCAAAATTGATGCTGACGGCTTAAAATTTAGGATTTCTTAGGCCCGTTTCATACGCCGTACTTCACATGTGCCGAATACATTACAAACAATAGATAATGAGGCATTTCAGCTCATTATCTATTGTCTTTAATGTATTCGGCACATGTGAAGTACGGCGTATGAAACGGGCCTTATATTCTCTTATTAATCTCTTATACAATTAAAAATTGTGAAATTGCAGGTTCACATATAGCAAAACTGACATGCGTCATTAGAAAGCTTACAAAAAACTGCATATAAGACATTTAAGTAGTTACTTTGATTTTCCAACTCCTCTGGAGTTATGAGCGGTTGAAAATATGTTTTAGGGCTAGTGTCCAGGACTTTGGCGGGATTTTTGCCTATTTATCACGTTTTTAAATAGCAATAACTGGAAAACCGCTTGGAAAATCAATCAGCTGTTTAAAAGTCTTATATGTAGTTTTTTGTAAGCTTTCTAATCATGCAAGTCATTTTTGCTATATGTGAACCTGCAATTTCACAATTTTAAACAGTAATAGAGTTTAATAAGAGAATATAAGAAATCCTAAATTTTAAGCCGTCAGCATCAATTTTGGTGATGCCTCCATATCTAAGATTCATTATCATGGTAAAGTCTACACTTCCTGTGAATTGGGTGTTTTCTTCACAAAGTGTATGATTTTTTACTTTTCCGCTGGACTATATAAAGCCAATTCAAGAAAGGTTGTCCTTTGCAAACCTTAAACTCTAAGTACGTAAAGCTTAATGGGAGCACAAGTTTCAAGCTCTGTAGTTGAATATTGCAGCTATTGTGAATGAATTGTTCTCGTATAAGGAGATATTTACCATGTCTCTAAGAAATGTGCCCCATATATGATTTATAAAGCGTTGGACTACACTGTCCATAGTATCTGTCATGCATGCTGTTGTTGTTGTTGTTGTTGTTGTTGTTGTTGTTGTTGTTGTTGTTGTTGTTGTTGTTGTTGTTGTTGTTGTTGTTGTTGTTGTTGTTGTTGTTGTTGTTGTTGTTGTTGTTGTTGTTGTTGTTGTTGTTGTTGTTGAAACGCCTTACTTGGGTATCATTGAATAGGGAACAGGGAATTGAGGAATCGGGTAGTTAGTGAAAGATTATGAATATCGT